CCTTCCCGCGCGTGCTGCAGCAGCCGGCGGGGGAGCCACCGCTGCAGTGCATCGTGCCGTGCGCCATCGACCAGGACCCGTTCTTCGTGCTCACGCGCGCAGCGGCGCAGCGTCTGCGCTGTCGCCCACCGGCGCTGCTGCACACGACGTTCCTCCCAGCGCTGAAGGGGCTGCGCTTCAAGATGAGCAGCAGCGCGGAGTCGAACGGCGTCATCACGCTACGCGACACGGCGCAGCAGGTGCAGAGCAAGATGCGCAAGGCGTTCTCCGGCGGCGGCGGCACACTCGCGGATATGCAGACGAACGGCGTTGATCTGCAGGCCGACGTGGCGTATCAGTTCCTCCGCTACTTCTGCCCAGACGACGCGCTCCTCGCGGAGGTGACGGCAAAGTACAGCACGGGCGCGATGAACAGCGCGCAGGTGAAGGACCTGGCGGCTGATGTTGTTGTGCGCCACGTCCTGTCGGACTGGCAGGCGCGACGAGCGACTATTACGGACGCCGATGTGGAGCACTTCTGCGGTGTTCGCAACATTTTGCTTTAGCGGTAGCCGAATCATGTGGGTTTCTCTGTGCAGTTGCGTGGCTGTGCATCTGTGCTGTGTACGTCTGTGCAGGACTTGCTGCTGCCACTTTGCCTCTCTCTCTCTCTCTCACACACACACACACACATTCCTCAAGTAGGGGTAGAAAGAGTGCTGGATGGAGCCGGGGCTGCAACGCGGTGGCACACACCGTTTCTACGGTGGTCGTGGCTATTCGCATAGGAACGGGTTGGGGCAGCAGCAGCAGCAGCAGCAACGTGGGAACTGCTGTGGACAAAACGGCAGGACAACGGATGACGCTGTCGCTACTGCTACTGCCGCTGCTACCGCTGCTGGGGACGACGACGACGAGGAGGCGGGATGTTGCAGTGGGGCTGCCCAGGCTAAGTGCATCCGCAGCGCTTTTCACCCGGCGTTCCCACACAACGATAGGGTGCGCGTGCAGGCCAGTTGTATCCCGTTGGCCGGGTTTACCTTCATGGTGGTCGAGCGCTTCATCGTTGGCTACGACGACGCGGTATACCAGTCCAACCGCAAGGTGTGGGAGCACGTCCCCCGCGGCCAGGCGCGAGTGTTTGTCGCGGAGCCGAGTGGCGACACATTCCTGCAGGTGGCCGCACTCCAGGGGCTGCGAAAATTTAGCCACTTTGATGTGTCATATGGCGTCACATCTAAGGAGCCCATTGCGGCGGTGGCGATCGATGCGATTGACGGCGACTGCGGCCACGTGGCCGCCTTCACATACGGCGACGTGCGCTTCTGGTTGGTTGGCAGCAAAGACGCGCATTTGCTGCTCCGCTTTAGCATGCCGGAGGAGGACCTTGCCTCCTACAGCAGCGAGAACGGCCCGTGGCGTGCCACCCTGCCCATACGCATCGCGCGCCTCTGGCGTGAGACGCTGCGCGCGCTGCCGGAGGGAAGGGCGACTGAGCTCCACGACTACTTGAGCAGCGCGGGCTACACCGCCTGCTTCGACGCCGTGCTGCAGGGCTCCGGCCACCTCGTCGACTATGGGCCCGGCGAAGCGCTTAGGTTCTACGCCGTCACTCACCTAGGCGCGGGGTCGAGCGACGGCCTCTGCGCAGACATTATAGACACCACGGCGGCGTTGCAGGACTTCGGACTTGACGTCGTGCCGCGCAGCGCACCGCTCGAGTTCGCGACCGGCGAATACGCGACACTGCGCGACGCCGTCGCGCGCCGCCTGAACTGCAAGGGCACGGTGATGTACGGCCTCAATGAGGCGGGTACCGTGGTGCGCATGTGGAAGCTTCGGTCGCACGCGTATACTCTCGAGCGTGCCGCGCAGGAAGCGATTGTCACGCACCGACTGTGTGGCGCCGCGCTCCGCGTAAAGATGGTCAAGAAACTCGCCGGGCTTCCAAAAGAGGTGCGGCAGTGCGTGGGCGAGTGGGAGGCGACGCGGCTTGAGTACCTGGTGCAGCTTGCGGCGTGGCTGCACGTCACGGGGCGGCTAACCAACAGCATGGACCTCCC